GGGATTGAACCCACGACCTCCTCATTGCAGCTTCTGTGCCTTATCAACTGACCTAGGCCCATGTCCTTACTGTACTTTCTGTTTGTTGTCCTCTTCTCTCTCTCTGCGTACGGTTTACCGGCCCATGTCCTCATTGTTGTTTTCACATTATTGCCAGGGTCACAACCATGTGCTTGAGGTGCTTCGCTGACAAGGCAATGTCAGCAAAGCTGACTCGGAGTTGTACTGTAACAGCTCACCTCCGCCGCACATTGCCATGAAACTGTGTTTGTTTGAACAAGTGATGTAATCAGGAATCTTGCTTCTGTTTGTTTGAACAAGTGATGTAATCAGGAATCTTGCCATGAAACTGTGTTTGTTTGATCTAGTGGAAGTTTTTTTTTTTCTTTTTCTTTTTCTTTTTCTTTTTCAGAAGGGTCGCCAACCTCTTTTAGAATTTGCAATACATGGCTTTGGCTGATCTGTCAATGCTGAACAGCCAGCTTGGGTGGCTCGAATGAAGCGTTGCTGGATTTTCTGAGTCGTCTAGAATTTGTTTTTTGTTTTTTTGGAGACCTTTCCCGTTTTATCGGTTCCCAGTCGAGAGATTACTTTACAGCCTACCGGTGGCAGTTGTGCAGAATGTAGGAAACTCATACAGATTAGGGTCCAGCCTCAAGAAAAGGAAAAAAAAAGAAAAAAAAAGAAAAAAAAAAAGAAAGGAAAAAAATAAGAAAAAAAATAAATTAGAAAAGAAATAAGAAAAGGGAAAAAAAAGGTAAAAGAAAAAGGGATGAGCCTCACGTGCCCACTTTTTTTTTATCGCTGGAGGAAAACAATATAGATATCAAATGAAGTTCATATGCTCCTTCCTTGTATTTCAGAGTGAGTTAAGGACCAGGGCTGTTAAATACTATACTTTGTGTGTGTGTGTGTGTGTGTGTGTGTGTGTGTGTGTGTGTGTGTGTGTGTGTGTGTGTGTGTGTGTGTTTTCTCTGGGGGTGAAGTTGTTCACATCCTCTGCATCTATGAATGAGGAGCACTCCCTTAAAAAAAAAAATACACAAGAGAGGACTTGCCCTTGACCTTGGCCTTATTCTGCCTGCCTACCTGCAGGTTTCTTTCCCTCCCTCGCTCCCTCCCTCCCTCCCTCCCTCCCTCCCTTCCTCCCTCCCTCCCTCACATCCTCTGCTGTGTTTGCTTTTGTCAAGTTCATATACTGTACTATGCTCATAGTGTTTTCAGTGCTTGGAGGATAACAGTAGGGCTGTTAATACTGTTGTTGTGCTTGCTTTGGGGGATGAATATGTTCACATTTGACACTCTTCAAACAATGGACGGGTGAGGATCACTCCCTTAAAAAATTGACTGAGCAACACTCCCTGAAAATGCGAGAGCACCGACTTATTCTCCCCTGCCTGCAGGTTGGTTTCTTCGCTGATTGTGGGGGGGGGCGGGAGAGAAATTTGAATTTTTTTTTCACTTTTTAAAGCCGCACAGGTGCGGGGGGGCGACCTCCGCAAACACACCCCTATTAAAAAAAAAAAAAAAAAAACATCTGTGCGGGCACAGCGCTCGCCCGAACGTCGCGTTCGGGCCGAACGCCAGTCGGACGGGTCCCGTAGGTTCGGGCGTTTGGGTTCGGGCGTTCGGCCCGTCCCGAACGCCGGTGACCCTGTATATATATGTATATATATATATTATATATATATATATATACATGGCTGCCGACGTTCGGGACGGACCGAACGCCCGAACGTACGGGACCCCTTCGGAAGGCGTTCGGCCGTTCGGGCCGAACAGGGACAAAAAAAAAAAACAATAAAACAAACAAACAAGTTTTCAAAACATTCCCCCCCCAAAAAATGTTATGCATAAAAATAAACTAAACAACATTTGCTTGGCATTACATCCAAATTCTTTACCAAATTCGAATTAAAAATCAAATACAGAAAATGAACACTTTGATAAAAATAAGAAAAAATAAAAAGAGAATTAAAATGAGTGAGTGTGCCAGCACCTTTTCGACACCGCCTTCTTTGCCGATTTTTAATTATTTTTTGGCATTGACAAATGCCCTGAAAATTTACAGATATGTACTTTACATAATCAATAACTCTTGAAAAAATTTCCAAAAAATAATAAAAGTTTTTAAGCCCCGTTATAAAGTGAAACAAAATAAAATAGTGAGTGGGCGAGCACGTTTTGACACCCCCATCTTTGACGATTTTCAATGTTGTGTTGGCTTAGCAGAATGGCTTTAAAATTTATAGGCGTGTAGGGTATATCATAGAGAACTCACAAAAAACAAATCAGAAAAAAAAAATTATTTTTAGACCCCGAATTTGTTTTTGGCGGGGGCCAAACTTGGAGGTGTTCGGCCCCTGAATGGGACCCCGAACGCCCGAATGTTCGGGGGCCAGCCTGAGGGCCCCCGAACGTTCGGTCAGGTAACCCTGTATATATATATATGTATCGCATATGCATTTGGCTTTTTGAAACCCTTGTCTTTATTGCTCACTATATCCCCTTACGTTTATTGAAACCACAATAATAAGGCGAAAAAAAAAATCACTTTCCCATATCATATGTACGGTCGTTTTTCCTTTTTTTCGATTGTCCGTTCCTCCCCCTGCTTCTCCTTTCCCCAGTCCCTTCCTCTTTGTTTTTATTTTCTTCCATTTTTTATTTGTTTCGGATGGTTGTCTTAGAGGGTCATCATTTTTACACCCTACTTCAATGTACAATTATATATGCATACTACCAAGTTATTGGGCGCGTATATGTGGTCGGTTGAATCGAGGTTTACTCTTTCTTGCTCTTTTCTTCCCCTATCTATGACATATAATACATCTACTAGTAATACTACACCTAGTACATCTTATATGCCTACTACACTCTTAAGGTTCCTTAGGGTCAGGTGTAACACTTTGTCGTAACCCATCCCAAGAGGATTCTGCCAATCTGCAAAGTCATTTGATAAGTGGTGTGTTTTTCGACTTCAATACACCATGTCTAGGTCAACACACAAGGAAACGTCGCCCATGTCATAAAATTGTGAAGGGGCTATATTGGCGCAACTCGAGCAGGCGCCAAAAATAGTAAAGTATAGGGGAACCCACGAAATAAAAGAAAATTTACCTCATGACCCTCAAAGATGCATTTATTTTCATCGCGTCATTGGAACCACAAAATATTCAACCATCTTACTAATTTTTCACCCTGTTTGTGGATCAAATTTGAAACAACTTTACCTCTACAACAAAAAACACATATTGCCTTTTATGCAATATTTTATTCGTTTCTTCGACTTTCTTCCGTGTTTTTTTTTTTTTTTTTTTTTTTAACAAAAAAACAATAATACATTCAATTTCATTACAATTTAATACTTAAAACGAGGCCAAAGACCTCACAATTTAATACGAAGTTATTCTGACAGCATCAACCGGTTTAGCTTTTGAGTATCGATTCCAAAATTCAAATAATTATCGTACCCCCTATAGTTATAAGCCTAATTATTACCCAAAAAAATCCAGTATCAATCCCCCGTGTATTTAGGCTCACTACCCTTGCCTACTCCTATACTATACCTATGTTAATTCACAGACCTAATAAGGGATTTGAAAATCGGCCCTTACAGATGAGAGGAACCCTGTTCCAATTTTGAGTTACATGACACGCTCTAGCCCACCCAACCCAATGCGGTCTACTGTGACTACCGACTATAACTGAGTGCACATGGTCAAACCTGCACAAACCAAAACAACCACATTCCACCACTAATGACCCAACCTTCCCAATATTAATGTTATTCTACCTCTATCCTACTCTAACCACCTGGATGTCTGCAGTTACCGCTGTGGCGAGATTTTCGTCAGGTATCCTCCGATACCCCAAGTTTTCATAAACCACTTGTTCCAGCTGGACACTTCCCTTAGACTTTCTTGTGTTAGTCGGACCTGATTTGAGATATAAGCAAGCGCTTGAACAACTTCTATGCGAGAAACGGTTAACAAAATCATAAATTTCAGGTTTCTTTCAGGGTTATTATCACAAAAGTCCCACACCTTTTAAGCCAAACTTGTCACCGGTTCATAGAGTGGACAAAAAAAAAAAAAAAAATCAAAAGAAAAATCAAAGGGGCCTTAACTCCAAGGCAAAAGTGTATTTTCATGCAAAATTTGCTCTTTTCAATTTTCAAAATTTTAAAGTCTAGCAAAAACGTCTCCGAAACCCCAACAAACACCGAATTGGTCACACGCAAATCTCAACCAGAAATAAAATAGGGCAAAAAAAAAATTTATTAAATGCACTTTGCAGGGCTAGGGGGTTTGACCTAAGACTGAAAAGTGGGGGTCCGTATTAACTGCTTGTGCTCTCTGCATATTTCTCTCGTAGGGTCTTCTCCCGCATCTCATGTTTCGATCATGCCAGATCACCCACATCATGGTTCCCTTTGCAACATGGGCGACATACTCCGATCAATGTGTAGGTGGTATCATTGAAATAGTAACAGTAACTCATTGTACTAACCATCTCTTCCTTGTTGAATCTTCTCTTGATGAGAAAAAAATCAAGAATTTTTCTCATCGCTTCCACCATTTGTCCACCACAAGTGCAATGTGGTTTCAATTGGGTTCCCGCAACAGTCGCACTGAAGACAGACTTTCATTCCATGTTCGTTTAACTATGTTGTGGAAGGGGTCGCTAGCTGCAACTAGAGCCATAAAAGCGATGTTATCTTCTGCGAAGGGAGAGCATTGAGTTGTTTCTATAGAGAGACAAGTTCGTCCTCTGAAGGAGGATCAACGTCGTTGCACTGCCTACACCACCGGGCTTGTATCTTGACGTGAGGGGTTATTTTTTTTTATGATAATCTACAGGGCTAGAGTTGTTGTAAGTTTTAGCCAAACCCTGAATTGCTCTTCCTCTTGTACCACTCAGCCTCAAGCTGCTCGATCAATCTTCGTATCTCTGAGGGGGGTTATGTCCGCCACCAATGTGAGAACGTCAGGTTACCCCATCTCCTTTGGACGGTTTCTTCGTACACGGATCTCGGTTAGACCGTTCAATCGATACAGTAGAGACAGTCCAACAATTACAATCTTCGACGAACCTACAAAAATCATTTCATACTTTTCCAACCAACATTTTTATAAGCCCCCTGAAATCTTTTCTTTATGTAGCCTGAAAAATACTCCCTTTCCGTCTTTTCCGCCCGGTACCATGCGGCAATGGGGTTTACACCTTCCGGTCCGAGGATTTGTTTCCAATCATGGGGGATTGCTGCAACGAATTATTTGTTCTCTTTTTGCCTCTATTGGACTTTGATGGCCACCAATTTCTTTCAAGTGTTAGAGTTTTCATCCCATATGTCACCAATGGTAGACCTTCCTTTTATTCATTTTCTTAAAAAAAACCCTGGTTGGGTTCCTGCTTGGAAAGGTTGTCCTTCTATGTCCAGAATCGTATTATTCTCGAACATAATTTACCTTCTCTTCATTTTTGGTTATGGGGATCACCTGCCTATTCGGCC